CTTTAATTCTTAACAATGAATCACTTCAAGCACGTAAGCTAAATTTTTATGCACGAAATAAACGTTTTTTAAAAGCACTTGCATAAAAAATATTTTCGATATGACAAGAATCTTCGCTTAACTTTTTTTTTACCAATAACACTTATTTTGAAAACGTGAAAATATCCCTAAAGAATCTACACTTACAAAAATAATTTTAAAAAATGGTAAACTGGAGATTTTTATTTTGGTGGACGTCCGGTAGTCAAACGGTCAAATTTTTAACCGTTTTGATTTCTGACACTCAACGACCAGTTCAGTTGTTCGGTACAGTGGCAGACGTCTGGTAGGGGTAGTCCAGTTGGACAAAAAATTTTACGTTTTTAACTAATATAAATACCAATCCACTTACCATTTATCACAACTACTTAGAGCATTCAATTGAGTTTCTTTTGAGCCAAAATTTGCATTGATATCTCATATCATTTATTAACAAATTATTTTGGTGTTGAAGAATCTTTGATTAAATTAACTCTTGAAAATCATTCTATACATCAAAGTTTTTCACATTTAACATTTGAGTTTTATTCATTGCTATCTATTGAAGCGTTAACATACTTATCTTCTTATACTCAACTTTGAATCTACCATTCATTAAGAAGAGAAGATAACTCTTGTAAATTTATTTAAATTGTGGGTCGTGTTGAAATTCCGTAAAACTCAACATTATAAAAGGGTCGGTACTCCTTGCTCGTAAATCACCGGAAGTTTTGTAAATGGTTGGATTACACCACAAGTCAATCAACATAGTGAAATTGGCATTGCTCGTGTCGAAGAGCTTGGTTAAGGAGGACGTAGATCACTGCGCTGGATCAAACGTCCATAATTATATCGTTTGCACTCTCTATCCCTCTTTACTCATTGTTTTAAAATTTATGCTTACTATTTGAATTAATCTGCTTAATTTTTACTTGGTTGAATTTAGACTATTTCTTCGAAAAAGTTTGAAAAACTAATTTACCCCCTTTTGGTTAGTTATTCTTGGGCTAATAGAACATATAGATGAAGTGATGAACTAATTGCATAAAAAATGAATTAGTATAATTGTGGTTATAATAGCTTTCCATGTTTTAATTGCATTCACTGTTTTGCGCACTGTAGTATGTTTTTAATTCATTTGTCGAACTTTATCAACTTTTTATTAATTAGCAAGTTTGGTCTTGATGATAGTTTCATTTAGTGGT